GCAAGGAACAACCAACTGCATTTAAATAAAATGGAGGTACATGCAAAACCCAGGCCCTAGCACAAAGCTAAAGTCCAAATGGGTGAACAACCAGGACTTTCTGCCATAGCTTACATCCGGTGGGAGTCGCCATGGCGTAGCGGCTGGACGCTCGCATGCGGATCAGAAGGTTCGTGGGTATGCTTCCTGGTGGAGCCGGACATTTTTCAAAAATGACCTTGACTCTCAGGTCGACCCAGCCTTGAGTGGGTACTGGGTGCAGTCCAGGGAAGTAAAGGTCGCCGGCATGATAATGACCACATCACCCATCTTGTGCCGATTGGTCTATAAAAATACAGGTCTAGCCCTATATGCCCTATACGCCTAAAGGTGTGGGAAAGGGACCTTTACTCTGTTTATTTTTGTTTTACATCCGGTGAACTATTTAATAGGAAAATAAATAAGGCAATATATAAACACTGTACAGAACATATACTGTTTAGCAAATAAAAACAATTATGCAGATTTCTTGAGTATTCTCTAACCAAGTACAAAAGATACAATAACATTTCATGAATTGCTGGATACTTGTGATTGTGGTTAGGTGAGGCTAGTTTATTTCTTGATTATGTTGTGACAATCGATGTCTTTTGCACACTGGGCATCCCCATGCGTGCTCAGTCCTCCAATGCAGCTGCCACTCCCAGGTATCTCTATCGATTGTTCCTATGAGGAGCTGGTTACAGTATCTCCTGTCTTTACCTCAAAGACGGCATAGATGTGTTTCACCAAGCTCAACTCCTCGGTCATGTAGTCGTGTTAGCGTCAAGAGATTCACCATTATTCCCCAACCTAGTCCATACAGCGTTGATGATATCAGCTCTGTCCATGCTTCTTCTCGTTTGCATCGGTGCATTACTTGCCAGCTGGTCAACTCTTTCATTACCATTTACTCCTGCAAATCTAGGTGTAGATCCAGGTGATGGAGGATAACTGCAACTTTCGAATGCTTTCTACCCATTTGAAGTGTAGACTACCCGTAGCAGTTTGGTTTAATATCTTTTCATGGTAGATAACATGGTTCAATACTTGTGATGGGAGGAGATAAGTATGATGAGTGATAAGGGACTTCACACCCCTGTAAAAGTAACATACCTCCATCACAGTGTTAGAAATGGTAATGTCTGTAATAACAGTATTCTAACAGATAAAAAGTGTGTCCTGGCCAGACAGTAATATCAATCCTGGTGGCTTGGTGGCCTATTATGGTGAAACTTTTCTTACCAGAAAAGTTTGGGTTTGTCTATGCCAGGAGCTTTAGAAGTGACAGACATGTTTGATTTTTATTATCAAATAACAAAGTATTTGTTAATTGATTTATCATGTTGCAGTATATTTTTGCCTGGCATTGGTTTTACATGCAAAGTTACTTGTCATTTAAAACCCAAAAAATCATGCTATCTCCACAATGTGAGCAAACAAATGAAGATGAGTTTAGAAGCAACTGAGATGTGGTTCTTGAGAAGAATTGTTGCGGATACCCAGGGCTGCCAGAATAACTAACAAGGAGGAGTATCATCAATGAATTGATCCTGAGCAAAATCTGTGGAGATACATGAACGCCTATGCCAGCTGGCAAGGAACTTGATGATGATCTCCACAATGACAGGTGGCTGCCATGTTTCCACTGCTGGCTGAGAATACTATGGGCCCAGTCACTTTCATGGTGTTCATACCAGTGCAGGACAGTCAGAAAAACAATCTTCATTAGCCGCCTGTCATATTAAATGTCTCTTCATAACATGTTCCATTTTTCATTTGATTACAAGGCAATACATTTTATTTTGCCTCAATTAAAAAAATATTTTTAAAATGTATTTTTTTAGCATGTGATCTAAATTAAAGAAACTGTTTTAATGTTTTAATTATTGATCTGGCCACACTTGAAATTTACGGTTAACTGCACATAGAAAATTATCCGAGGGAGCACATAACGAACTAAAATTACAAAAGACAAGAGTTTTCATAGCACTGGACGCTGTGTGAAAGTGAGGAAGAAATAAAAACCTACTTCCAAATTAGTATACAACGTAAGCATTAACACTGTAGCCCTAATTCTATGGATCCCAAGGAACGCATCATACGCTCATAGGTTCCTACCTAGAAGCCCAATAAACGCATGATGCGCCAATTTTATGACTCTCCTTACTACCGTCTGGGCCTGTGATGCTAAAACCCCTGGGACTCAAAGAGTTAAGAAAGCTGGGTAAAAAAAAAAAAAAAGACATGACATCTCTAAGTAATGGCTAATATGCTTATATAACAGCTGTAGTAAGGCAAGATAAGTTGTACCCCACCAGGACATCACAGAAGCGATAACACCTGTTGACACAAAGTGCCACCATGCGAATGAAGATCACCCGTGGAAACCCGTTCAGCCATATTTAAGGCCCAGCTATATTTAGGGCCCTGGCAAAAGCCAGGATGGGGCTTCAAAATAACGAAAAATTGCATCCCACAAGGGTATGAGGATACACTCAACAGCTGTGGTTTCAACTGCATAGTGTGTAGACATGGTGGGTATGATTAAACTTAACTAAACAAAATTGTTTGGACATTTTTTTTGGGGTTGAGAAAAATATTTTTGGGGGTGTTGTGTAATCACAGTCTTATGATGACCTCATTTCAGTCTCTGAGTCTGTCAACACAATCCCTGTTGTCATGGTCTAAGGGAAGGAAAGCAGTTATTACTTTGCTTCATTTGTATTTAGTAGTTACTTCCCTTCATATTAAAAATAAAATTACCTTAAATAATAAATTTAAACAAAATGGAGAAAAAACACATCTTTTTGAGTGACTTGGGGGGTCATAGATTTCAACTCCTAAATTTTTTATAAAAACTCACCAAACTCCTGATTTCTTCTGCGTCTATGTCTCTTCCTCTAGTTCAGAAATAATTTTTTTTAGGTTAAAGTTTCTGAGAATTATAACGATGCCCGTCTTTTTTGACACAATTTGACAATGGCATGACAGAGTCGTTTACTTTGCTTATTTATCTGCTAAGGTTTGTTACTGTCTGATTTTTTTCTTGTGTGTTAACCCTTTATAAGGATGGTTTACAGCTAGGCTGCAATTCCTTTTCAGCCCAACACATCAAATTTCACAAACCCTAATCGGTTGCTTCATCTGACATGTTTATAATGGTGCAGTGGGTTGGAAAATACTTTGTTTAAGAAATTAATCCAGTGAACTGTTACTAAAAAGCTTAACGAAATGGGAAAGCGGAACGTTCACAAAATCAAAGTATCAGCCGGGGCCTTTCTCGAAATGGACTAACTACACAACAATGACAAAAGGGACAGTATTAATTAATTTCTTAGTATTAGCTTGACTGCAGTCACCCCTATTTTCACCTTTGTTTTTCTGCATGGGATGTTAATTTCTTAATCCAATGTGCCATATATGGTGAATGTTCTTCCCAGATGTTTTAAACTTCCACAGCTCTACTGTAGTTGTTCTGTTTCTGTGCCAATGGAAAACTACACAGAATGTCCATTACTTTACCTTGTGGACAAATTCACCTATACTGCAGTGTCAGCAAATCTGATAGCATACACAAACATTCAGTGCACAAGGCAGCTGTCAGAAGTGCCAACACAAACAGTCTGACATTATACATTTTAGGCTGTGTGTGGGTGTGTGTGTGTGCGTGTGGGGGGGGGGGGAGGGGGAGGGAGCGTGGTCAGGTATATTTTTGCTGTTTGTATATAGTGCTGTTGCCATGTACTGTGCTGGTTAGGATTTCACTTTCTGCACCCAAGAGACAAAAAAATTAATATCAGCTTGCCAAGGTTTCCAACATGAGTCTTCCAAATAGCCCATTCTAACGAGCCACTCCTCACAAAAAGATAACACGAACTGTAAAAGTACATTCTTGACATAAATGAGATTTTTTTTTCAGAACAAAAAGAAAAACAGAGCTGCAGTGGCAAAGTGACTTGCCACCCCACCTCCAGCCTGAAGATCTTGGGTTCCATTCTGGATTTTGTTTTATAACAATGACCTTGGTTGCTAGGTCACCCAACCTCAAACTGGTACCAAGTGAAGTCCTGAGAAGTAAGAGAGGCCAACAGGATTCTTGACCACATTACCCATCATGACCAACCGGTCCATACAAATATGAGCCTAGCATCAAATGCCCGATGTGCCACTGGCAGGAAAAGCATCATCCTTTCTTTTTCACTAGAAATTTTCTTCAGAGTACATCTGCCTAAGAGGCAAGGTACCAACAGTCTGCATATACATGAGTCAGATCTGTAAAACAGATGTGCACGCAACACTCAGGTTCTGGAATAGGTTCAAGTCCAGAAATGGGTGAACAGTCAGAACTTTCAGCCAGAGTTTACAGCTGGTGAACAAGAAGAAGAAAAAGAAGGAACATTTATGCTGGCAAGGAACCCACAAGTAACTTTTCAAGTTCATCACAGGAATTGACAGGCAGAGAGCAGGTGAAATTTTCACAAACATAAGCCGTGGCTTTTCCATCCACACAAACGAGCGAGCTGAGAATCTTCACGTGTTCTCTCAGAAAACTATCTGTGCTCCCATCAGACACTAGAAGCACTTTGTGCGGCAGGTAATGTTTATGCAAGGTCTTGATCAGTCCTTTTGTATCTTCACCATTCCTGTCTCCAACGATGATTATCTGAAACAGATTGAGAAGCAAGGAAACATTTATGGATTTCAGACAAGTAAATATAGTTCTCTCTCTCAAAAAAAAAAAAAAACTGCAGGTCTTTACCGTCTGTTTTTACAAATTTTTAGATGTGTGGGACAGGGAACATAAATAACAGAATGGTTAATGATATATTTATTTCAGTAAGAAGGTGAAAATTTTAACCCATCAAGTGTGCTGCGTTAGCGCAGTCGATAGAAAACTCACTTTCAAATCCATCTGTGACTTGCTGCAGCCCACGACCGGTGTTCGAAACCTGACGGTTCCCGGGGTTCACCCAGCCTCTAGGAAATGGATACCATAGTAAACACTCTGGGATAAATTTAGGAACGTCGCTGTAGCTACGGAGTTGGGTGCAGACGGCGACAAAGGCGGACAGTTTCTTATCAGCTGTCCGTACTGGTGGCAGAGCACATATGGCTTATAACTGTGCAATGACGCTGGTTCACATCTCCCGACTTTACCTTTAACCCATCGAGTGCCCACAGTCTATAACAACCAAATAAACTTCTTCTGCTGCTTCTATTTTTTTCTTCCAGTTACTCAGTAATATTATAATTAGAACGACCAGAATTGTTTTGGTATTCAACAATCAAAATTGACATAAAATCACTGGACAACTCGGTGGAGGTTTTCTTTCTGAGTGGCTGGAAATGCCACTTAGCCGATGTTTTGGCTCCTTCCAACTGCTCAATCAGCTGCCACTGATTCACACATACAGGATGTTGACTCTTCAAGATCAGCCGTGACAATCAAGACATCCACCTGGAACCCTGGCAGTTTCCATAGGGTCGAGTTTCAAAGAATAAGAATGCACGTCTTTTGTAATGAATTTCTGAAGGAAAAAAGGTCATTTCTTACGATTCTTGTGGGGTGAAAGGGTTACACTACACAATAGTATACCTAAAGTGTGAGAAGCCTGGACATCAACAGCTGCTATGGATGGGTGTTTTTGTCACTATCAAAACCGGCTATCCATACTTCCCAGAACATTTTCTGTTATCTCGCAGTCCTTGAGGAAGAGAATAGAGGCTTTGGGGCTGAAATGCTATAGAAAGATTCTCAGAATAGAATACCATGGATCAAGAAGAAAAGAAATACAGACATCCTAAAATATCTCAACATCAAGGAAAATTGGCTAGTAAATAGCATCTTGTTTCGGAAACAAATATTTAAGCCATATCAAGCCCCACAGTGAAAAAACAACAGCAGAAGGCATGCTACTAGGAAACAGAAGCAGAGGCCGATCAGCATGAAGATGGGAACAGGATATAAGTGACACTTTGGTTAGGAAAGTGCACAAGCTGGGAGAGATAGCAAAAAACCTAGTTTCTTTCAGGCAGACTGTGATGACAGCAATGTTCTGCAAAATACCTGCTACATGATGATAATAAACCAGAGAATCCATGACAGTTTCAAGAAACTACACATCAAACACACTGGCCAGTGCTGCAGTTAATGAAACCTAAACACTTAAAAAAAGCAGCGTTGCAAGTCCGACTCGTAATTCCAACGTACTGCGATCGAAACCCACTGCTGGCTGCATGGACTTTTATCGTGGTCGCAGGTCGACCCACCCTAAAATGAGTACCATGATGTAGGTCCTGGGGAAGTAAATACGGCCGGCGTAATGCTGACCACATTACCCACCTAGTGCCGATTTGTCTGTAAAAATATGGGTGCTCTTCCCATAAGCCTGATGTGCCTAAAGGCGTGAAAAGGGATCTTTACTTAAACACTTAAAATAGTGAAAACCTCTAAAATATATCAGAGCTATGTACAGCTAGATTAACAACAATAACAATGCCTGAAACCTTTAACAAAAACAACATCAGTGACAATGCAAAAGTATGTAACACCTAAATACCTTCCCAAGTGAATTATGATGTACAATAACTATTTTTACCTGTTTTGGGCTTGAGTGATAAAACATTACAGCTGATACAAGTTCAGGAACAGCAACAGGGGTGTTTTCTATTCTTTCAGCAAAGACTTTGAAAATCCGTTCAGCCATTTCTCTCCAGTGTGTATTGTCCAAGATGGTGGACAACCGCAAAAGATTCATAGCTGACACTGAGTTGGGACTTGGTTCTGCACCATCTTGATCTGACAATGAGAGAAATTATGCTTCTGCTCTTAATTTTTACATCTGTTAACATTTACTGAGGCTTATGTGTGTGTTCCCCCCCCCCCCCCGCCCATTTAAATTCACAAGCTTCATCAAGATTAGATTACATCTCATAATATGAGTCGAGAATTATGACCTATGGATGACCTCTTCCTTTTATGAGTGTGAAAATACAAAATAACTGTCTGCACTTCATGAAAGGGACAAAATTCTTCTTCTTTCGTGTTAACTCTTAAGAGGGCACCTGGCATTTTATGTTGTGGTTTACAGCGAGGAGACGATATCTGCACCTGTCAGCCCAACACATTCAAGTAAACCCTTAAAAGGGGAAATGGGGGGGGGGGGGGGGGGAAGGCAAATAAAAGAAAATGCAACAAACAATTATGAATGTCTCGAACTAAAAAAAAAACACTTTTCTTCTGAGTGCAAAACAATTCATACAGTCATGGAGAACCTCATAGACTATGATACATCCACTTTAGGGAAGTAAATCTTTCTTCTGTGTCTGCCCCTAAAAGAGCAGTTGGCAGTGCTGTGGTTTATAGACTGCTATATCTGTGGCTTACAAATTTTTCAGTAGCAATGGGTCTATTCCCCCCCCCCCCCCAATCCCACACGGGAAACACAAATAATCAATATATTACTCTAATTAAATTGTTTGGCCATGTAAGAAAACTGGCATCAGACAGGGCACCACAGACAGCAATGTTATATAGATACAACAGTAACAGAACCAGAGGCCAACCACGCAGTAATGGATCGCTGAGATATTAGAGATACTGAAGAATACTTTATATGAAGCAAAGAGAAGGGCCCGTTACAGAGATCTCTTCCTGCCCTGATGCCGGAGGCATTCCAGGAGTAGAGTAAAGAAGAAGGAGAAGAAGACTCTTAATTAATGAAGGTTAACTCTCTTGTCCAAGAAAAAATTATTTCAAAAAAAAGCAATTACCGTTTTCAAAATTTTGTTAAAAGAAATGAAGCAGACAAAGAATTACAAAACAGGCGTTGAAATGGGGAACAAACAGACTGAGGAAGCAAGCACGTTCAAGAGAAACCCTACAGAAAACATTGGTGAGAGAGACCAGAGGTGCCAGGCTAAGTTCCAAACTTGATACTGAAAGCACAGCACAGAACAGATTGGAACTGTCCCTCTGTGAGTTTTGGGAGCCCTATCTTGAGGAGGGAAAAGAGTAATCCACTACTCCTTAACAAGCATGTTATAAAAGTTAATTAATTAGGAGTCTGCTGGTATAAGATGTACTGGACCGAACAGCGCAGATATTGCAGCCTAGATGTAATAATGTGGCAATCGTCGTTAGTTAGTTAATCGACAGATTACCATGACTGCAGATCGGACAAGTCCATAAGCGCTCGGATCCCATCTTCAGTATAACCTTCAGTGTGTGGTCACTGAGGTTTACTATTCTTCTTTGGCTACCTGTATAATGTTCATGTTTGGCGACACCTCTTTTGACCATAAGTTCTTGTCTTTTGAGTGTTGCCAATTCAATATTGTCTCCTGAATCATCTTCTCATCCTGCCTCCTTGAGAGTATTGGGAATGTTACTCCAGTCCATTACTTTTCCTGTACCTTCAGTAGCCCTGCCAGCAAGCCAATCCGCTCGTTCATTCCCTCTCACCCCAGTATCCTGGCACAAAAATAAAACAAATTCCTCTCAGATGAGATTTCCTTAGCGACTCCAATCATTTTCTTCAAATCCATGCTGCCTCTCTCTTCTTACAAATGCTCAATCACTAGTTATGAGCTTAGTCCACTATATACCAAAAACTGGGAGATCAGTTCAAGGTCTCATAGTTTTCCCTAAAGCTTAGCTGTCGGGTCTACTGGCTGTGGTTGGATGATGTTTTGCATTTCCTCCAGGAGAGGACACAGCAAAGACGAACACAGAAGAAGAAAAAGAATGGAAATAAGGAATCAACTCAAGCCTGGTCAATGTTTAATGGAACAACAGGAGGGAATTAACCAAAACCACAATGAAACATTCAAAATGCTGATGTAGTACAGACCTTCTTTTATCTGAAGTACAATGCTACTGTTTTCTCTTTGGCTTGAGAAATATCCACCACCATCTTCATCCCAGAAAAGCTGGTTCTGCTTCATCTGGAGCTGTTCTGCCCAAGCTATCCACTGGTCATCATAACAGCTTTCATACAAGTCCAGCAGACCACGGATCACGTATGCATAATCATCAGCAAAACCTCGGATAGGAGAATCTCTGTGCAAACAAAAAGTAACCATTTGAGTTACAATAAAATGCTTTGTATCATTATAATCTTCCTAAAATGATCTTTTATTTATATTTAATAAATGTACTTAGTGCTCACAGAAAGAAGTATTTTAAATTTTTTATTTAGTGTGTTGCATTTTAACATACCTGAGAAGCTTCTAACCCCCCCCCCCCAAACCTGGATAAAGCACGCAAGCCTAAACCATCTAACAAAAGAATCAGGCGTTATACTCTTGAGTTATACTCTTCACCTGAGCCCCTGAAGAGTTATTCTTTAATCTTTGGGACTCAGATTCAGTGTTTCTACCTCAATCCGGAACTTAGAAAATAAGGATGCTGAGCCCGATCTAAAGAAAACAAAACACCTCAACAACATGTTCCCACAGGACAGCTGGACAAGAATCTACACGGATTAGCAAAAGAAGCAATTGCAAATGGTGGAGCAAGTGTTAACATTAAACCGGATGAACTTTCTCCAACTACAAGTCAGAGCTATCAGCCCTCCTGATGGCAGCACAGTATATGAACAAGCTGCAAATACCCTGCATGGTTTTTCTCAAAGATTCACCGCCAGCAAATAGGCTCCATAGGCCAAAGTTACTGACGGCAGACTACAGAGTCTAACAGAGGAACTTGTTGAACTGACCAAAAAAAAAGGTAGAAACCTACATTCATTGGATTATTCTCATTGCTCCACAGGGGATTTATTAGCAGGACCAGAGATCACTGAAGAATAAGAAGTCGCTCTAAAATTATTTTGTATTAAATAGATACCAACTTAATAATTCGATAATTATTTTATAATAGACACCAACTTCATTCACTCTAAAATTATTTATAATTCATAATTTCCTCTTTTAGTTGACCCCCCCCCCCCCCCCCCCCCCCCCCCCCCCCCCCCCCCCCCCCCCCCCCCCCCCCCCCCCCCCCCCCCCCCCCCCCCCCCCCCCCCCCCCCCCCCCCCCCCCCCCCCCCCCCCCCCCCCCCCCCCCCCCCCCCCCCCCCCCCCCCCCCCCCCCCCCCCCCCCCCCCCCCCCCCCCCCCCCCCCCCCCCCCCCCCCCCCCCCCCCCCCCCCCCCCCCCCACACGACCCCCCCCCCCCCCCCCCCCCCCCCCCGCCCACCCCCCCCCCCCCCCCCCCCCCCCCCCCCCCCGATATCCTAGAAACATATATGGTGACTGCAAATGCTGAAATATCACAAAAGGATAAAAACACCTAGATAAGTGTATTCATCATTTCTACAGAGAGAAAAATTACTCACATCTGAGAGACAGTCTTTCTATCAGAAGTATAACAACTTCTCAGTAATATCCCTGTCCCAGATTCAAACATGTACTGTTTCAAGAACAATGCAGCTTTTACTGCCCGGTCTGTCAATGTGGGATCACCCAGCACTTGTCCACCTCTGGCAAAACCAGATATCATTAAACCTGCAGATACATTACACAACTTCTACAGCCTGTTTCCTTATGCAGAATTTACCATGTCAATTCAAATCAACTCAAGACCTGCATTTAGTTTTGTATTTGTCCCTGCTGTCATTTTCCAACATACATAAACTACAGAACTTTCAGGGCTGCCCTGGGATACATCAATTAAGTGATTTTGTGTATTTGTGCGGTTTTGCTCGATTTATGTATGTGCTGATCAAAGCTCTGTAGGTACAAAGTTCACTTTTCATTTGTGCTTGTTATATTGTGAAGCTCCTTGTTCTACTTTTTGTCTGGTTTTATTTCTTTCCATGATAAGAAGAATCCTGTGCACATTTTGGCTAAACAAGATCAAAAATGAAGAACGGAGGGTGAAAACAAAATGTTCATCACTGGCAAATGTTATCCAAGGAAGAAGATGGAGACAGCCTGGCCTGGACACTTTTAAAGAATTCCTTATGGCCCTTTTGAAAGGACAACTCTCCGGTGGATAGTAGACAGAAAAAGGAAAGGTTGATAACCCAAGCAAACCTTAAGGACAGGAGAAGGGAAATGAAGGAATGTAAAGTGACATGAGATACCATAGGCAGAAAAGTAGTAGGCAGGCAGCAATTATGAATGCCTTATGTGTCAATAGTGACAGGAAGAGGATATAAATGGATAGAATACTTCCATCATTCTACACCAGCCTGTGGGTCGCTACCCTTTTGTGGGTCAAAAGACCCTTTCACAGGGGTCGCCAAGGACCATCAGAAAACACACATTCACTAAAGTTATGAAGTTGCAACGAAATAACTCTATGGCTGGGGGTCGCCACAACACGAGGAACTGTATTAAAGGGTCACCATATTAGGAAGGTTGAGAACCACTGTTCTACACTAAGGGAAACTCAAAATCTTCTAACATATTACTATTAACCTTTTTTGCCCTTAGAAGCTGCAAAACCGACACTTCCTGATTGTGCCACACTCCCGTAAATGTTATTTTTACCATCACCGTTATTCAGGTAAAGCCTAGCAAAAACTACATTGTGATCATTTATACCAGCTCAAATGTTCAGGAGCAATGGAAATGATTCTTCTTCTTCTCTTGCTGTCTCACTGATACCAGGCTGCAGCCCAGTGTCATGATTCTGTATTTGTTTCGTGCTTCTCAGGTGGTTTAGGTGATGGATTTGTTACATCATTTATCCATCTCTTTTTTGGTCTTCCTCTTGCCTTCCTCCCAGATGTTCTGCTGTAAAAAGTCTTATATGGTCTGGCTGCATTCTCACTAGATGGCTGAACCATTTATGGGAATGATTATATTTGCTTAAATCAGCACTTAGGTCAGGTTTTCTTGTGAACAAATTAATTTTTTTTAATAGAAATTATGATGTCAGAATTTTCTATTAACAGTGGTAACCCAGCGCCTGGGTCATGGGGTTCAAAATGAGTCACAATAACAATTGTTTTTAAGGTTTAAAGAGATTAACTTAGTTAATTCTCTGCTGCAATTATATTTACTGATTATTTCTCTTATTCTGTATAGAATGTAATATTGTTTTGGTAAATAAATTGTTAGGTTTTTCTGTGAGCCGTGTAAAATATTTTTTCTAAGGACCTCTATGGTGAAGGGGAGATTTCCAGGAATGTCAGGTCATTGGCTTTGTATTTAAAAAAAAAAAAAATAGATTGTGGAAGGATTAACAAAGAATAGAAATGCTCATCAATGTCTGTAAATGAGTTCTAGTTTATGTTATACTACGTTCTCTTTGTGGAAAATAGAGCCAAATAAGCATGGAATGTCTACAGCTACAATAAAGATCAGCTCCACAGTTTAACTTTAGGTCTTGATTCAATAACTATCAATAAAATTATGAAAGTTTCCATTCAACAGCTTTAAAATCTATCAAAATATTTACTGCATCATTATTAATACTTAAGCTCTATAATTTTGCATAAATTATAAAAACTTCCACTTCATAAATTGCAATAAAGTAATTACAACTTTTACTGAATAGTTTTTAAAAAAGGCAACACAAATTTTCACTCCATAACTATTAATAGAATAATTAAAACATCCATTCTTCTAACTTTAAATGAAATAATTAAAATTCTTACTCCGTCACTTTCAGTAAAATAATTACACATCCACACTGCAACTTTTAATATATACGATAACTTTCATTATACAACTTTCAATAAAATAATTGAAACTTTCAAAAAGATGAATAAAATGTTAAAACTATTCATACCATTCCATGCTGCTACCATTTTGCTGTCCAGGTGTGGCCTAGGCCGCTTCTGCCTGATATTGTACAAAATCTGGCGACTTTTCTCCAAAGACTCCTTGACCTCATCAACAGACAACTCAAACTCAGAAGCTGTGTCCTCCACAGTTGAGGTAATCAGAAGAACATTTTTCTTTTTCAGCTCATCGTGTGGGTCCTGTAGAATGGTTGCCCATAAAAACATTCACTAACAACAATGAGGTGTATACGTTAATAAATATAATGTACAGTTTATCCAAAATGCAAATACAATCTCTTTTAATTCAATTAGTGTTTTTGCCCCACCCAAGCCATGTCTCCAAGCCATCCTGGTTATCTGTCTCTTGTGATCATGTCGGTGTTTTTGGCCCCATTCAAACCATGCATCAAAGCCATCCTGGTTATCTGTCTCTTGTGATCATGTCGGTGTTTTTAGCCCCATTCAAAATGCGGTTTCTGGGACCTCTCCACGGTGATCCTCATCCACATGGTGGCACTTTGTGTCATCGGGTGTTTATCGCTTGTGTGATGTCCTGGTGGGGTAGAAAGTCAGTCAGTCAACTGGACAATCACAGAAGATGCTTAGAAATAATATCTAATATCTTTTAGTCCCATGTCTTCCACAAATTCAATCTTCAGCAATACATTTGGCATCAATAGCTTAAGGAGAGAACTAAATAAATACAGAGACACAAGAAGTGAGGAAAGAGACTGGTGTTAGATAGGACACCTAAAACACACATAGGAACAGATGAATAATTTGGGGATACATATAGGGATATGCAAGAGATAGCAAAAGATACAACAACCTGGCATATGTTTGCTGAAGTTCTATACTCCAATGGAGGAACCAAAAAGAAAAAGAAGAAGAAGAAAAAAAAAAAAGAAAATATTTGTGTATTAAAAAAAATGTCCTCCAGCACTGCAGCTTGAAAGATTGCTACCTAGAGTGACTCAAGAAGCCACTATACGGATGGAAATGAATGGCAGCAAATCCCAGAAATCCCATTTAACTATAAACACATTTATACAAATAACAGCACAATAGTGATATGAGGTAACAACCTGCAATCGAATGTGGTTGGGAAGAAGAAGATGTATAATAAGAAGAAAAAGAAGATGTCTCATGGTTATATCATAAAACATTCAACAACAACTAATCACTTTATTACCTGCAAAGGATCCACATTGCCGTTTTCCTTCACGTTATAATAGTGACAGAAGATATCACTGAGAGTGACCCCTGGTTTCCCTGGTACACTATCAGAAAGATGAGTGTTGCAAATATCATTGTATGAAATGACAGAATGAATGTAGAAGAATGTAATGGGACTGCCAATTTCATCACAGTGTCATGAACTCTTGGATGATCAAAGTATCAAGGATGTCAGCAAGTAAAACTCACGGTATCACTGTGAGGGTTCCAGGGTCTCATTGTGGGGAAAATAGGAACAGACGCACTGCCTTCCCAACAAGTTGGAGTCAACTAACTGGGAGCATCCTTCGAAGTTGGAGTGCATATGCCTGAGGGGCAAGGAACCAAGAGTCTACATATAAATAAGCAACACGTCTGAAATGGATGCACATACAAAACTCAAGTTCTTGAACAAGACTAAAGTCTGGAGGTGGATGAACAACCAGAACTTTCCGCAGGAGTGTGCAGTTAGCGAACACGAAGAAGAAGAAGAGGAAGGATAACATAAGAAAGAAGAAACATGTACTTTGTAAAATTTTGCAACCTAAAGGCAGATTTCTGTACCTTGAAAACATCATAGAGATACTGATTTATGCTTTATAAAAAAACTACGGATACCAAATGACTTTAGTTAAACATTGAGTGATGACATCTTAACTAAACTTTAATCTCAAATTCATAAGCTATTTTTATGGTCTGGCTTAGATTCCTAGCAGGCGGACGGGGGATGGGGGCAGGATTATTTGTTCCCTCCAGTGCAGCTCTGAGATTGACCAAGCCTCATAAAAATGTGCACCAGATAATTACAGAATTTTCTGGAAAAGTAAAGGTGACAAGAAAGGTAACTGATCACCCCTCCTCATAGATCATGACTTAAAGCAGTGGCTCTCAACCTTCCTAATGCCGCAACCCTTTAATACAGTTCCTCATGTTTTGGTGACCCCATATTATTTACCTTCATAACTTCAACGAATATGTATTTTCTGATGGTCTTGGGTGACCTCTATGAAAGGGTCGTTCGACCAACAAAAAACAAACACAAAAAAAGGCTGCGACCGGCAGGTTACGAACCGCTGACTTGAAGTATGTCAAAGCCTAACATAAAGAGAACTGGATATCTTTCTCAGAGGAGAACAATCCACATTCTTGGGGCATGTCAGAAGTAGGGGTAACTGGAGTATGTTATGACAACAGAAAAACTGAAGGGAGAAGAGAGACAGGGAGAGACACAAGAAAAGACGTTTTACAGTTTCTGTCTTCTGTGTTCTCCCTTAAAAGGGTGGCTGGCATGGTGTGTTGTGGTTTACAGCTAAACTGCAACATCAGCGCCTTTTGGGCCAACACATCCAATTTTTAGTAAACTCCTATTAGTCAGCTTTTTACAACATGCTTATTGGATGGTGGTGATGGTGGTGGTGGTGGATGGGGGGGGGGGGGGGTAATTATATTCTTTGTTACTCCAAACTGGGCCGCCAGAACCCTTACTGGGATATTAGTATGATATGATGTCATGGAAGAATATCTATATCAAAACTTATTGGTTGTACACAAGTAAGTAAAGTAATGGACCCTTTTCCACGCCTTTAGGCGTATAGGGCATATAGGGCTAGACCTATATTTTATAGACCAATCGGCACAAGATGGGTGATGTGGTCAGTATCACGCCAGCTGCCTTCACTTCCCGCACTGCACCCGGTACCCACTCAAGGCTGGGTTGACCCAGGAGCCAAGGTCATTTTTGAAAAAAGTCCGGTTCCGCCAGGGAGCGAACCCATGACCTTCCAATACTACCACAAAAGTAGTAATAAGAAGGCTGTAAAGAGACATAATAGCTACCAACTCACTGCAGAGATTAGCTTTCCCCACCCCCAAAAGTACGTGGTGAAGGCTCTTCAAGACTGAATGAACAGTGAAACAGAGAATTCATACATTGAAAGACTAATTCAAGGGAAAAAGGGGGAAGTGAGAGGGAGAGGGGGGGGGGGGTGAGTAGAGGTCTTCTTCTTCTTCTTCTTCTTTTTCACTTCCTCTTTTACTGCTGTGGGTGTCGCGGGAGGTGAGTAGAGGTTCTGGAAGATATTCAACACTGAAGGGGAAACATAGGCAGACTTTTAATCAGGTTGTAACTGGTACCATTAGCGTGTCGACTCTTTGTTGACTACGAAGGAAAAAGACGGAACACCGGTGGGAATGTCCCGAGTGCACTGATGTCACATCTTGATTCATTCATTCATTCGCCCAACAGAAGAATCTGCTACATGACTGCTTTTAGCTTCATGTGTCTACTGCGTCTGCTAACTTACCGGGTGACTCAGATCCCGGCGGACATATGTGAAAATGTCTTGTGCTGTTGCTTCATATAAATCATCACGAGTGATCTGTGAACAAAGAGAACAATGTGTTCACTGTCTGTGACCTTAATAAGGAGAAGTGGCTCACCGAATGGTTCTGAATGCAGGGCTCTCATGTGAGAGACACAAGTTCGAATCACGTGCAAGGTTATGGATTTGTTTTTTGGGGGCAAAAATGAAATACCAATCTTCAGACCCCCCCCCTCCCCCCCCCCATCCCCAGGCATTGGATTCAGTGACTAGCTTTTTAATAGCAAGAAGAAAATAATGAGGTCTGGACTTATTGCTTGCACATATCTTCCGCAGCAGGTGGAAACATAGAGTCAAAGAGGAGCAGGCTGTAACTGTCACTGCCTTGACAAACTTCAAAATACTTTGATAGCAAAAAATAAGAATATTGTTAGCATGGAAATTTCATTTGTGAATGTGGCAGTTAAAGAAAAAACAAAAACCAACTGTCACTACTGTCTGTTTTACCACGTTTTAAGGGTGGTTAACTGGGGGGGGGGGGGGGGGGCGGTAAGGGGGGGGTTGTGAGTCTGAAGATTTAGAGTCGCATGAGTAGGGCTGTCACCACGGAGGGACTGTGCAGGTTGGGATGTTTAATTTCCCCCCCCCCCCCCCCCCCCCCACACAGAAAAATTTCCATCACCTTACATTGTAACTGCTTGGCCAGCTGCTCCTCGAACGAATTTGGAAGAGTGTGCAGTTAAATCTCAAACACATTTAAGGGCATGACACAAAGCTAAATTTCTGGTTACCGGACAGTGGAATTAAAAAAACAAAAAGTTATTACAGTCCTTGTCCTGAATATCAGAAATAAGATAAAACATAATTACAAATTAAACAACCTTACATGTTTTTATCATTAACTTATCTTTCTGAAAACATTTTTACAATTTACCTGGAAATAAATATTTTGTTGGAGGTCTGTGGTGAAGTGGTCCAGCTGTCTGCATTGCACCCTGATGGATGTGGGATTTTTTTAAAAACCGAGTTTTAAATTATTTGCGGTAATTTCTAGGTACTGTCACTGGAATTATGGAGTACTGGTTACAATTCTATGTTGTATAATGAGACCTATGTCCTTTACGTTGGTGTCTGTACCTTGGGCATTGTGAACATGCTCTGTAATTCTTAAATAACTTATTCAATTTCAGCTGCGGGTAAGTGGGCAGCAGACAGCTTTGTGTTGAATATGACTGTGGTATAGAATGCTGATTGTTCAGAAAGCAAGGGCAAACTAGTGAACTTAAAATTGCCCAGTAAAATCATAAACAACAAAGACATTCCTGGCTCTGGTACTGCAATGTCCTTTAAACGATTTGAAAACTAAATTTTTTTTTTTGAAATCTCGAAGCACCTTGACAAATTTAGTTAACATAGTAAAGGACCCTTTCCAAACCTTCAGGCGTATTGGGCATATAGGGCTAGACCTATATTTTATAGATCATTTGGCACTCAGTTGGTGATTTGGTCAACAACACGCTGGCCACCATTATTTTCCAGGTTGTTCAGTGGAACCCATTTAAGGCTAGTCGACCTGGGAGCCAGGGTCAATTTGTTTTTAAAGTTCGGCTGAACATATGACCTTGGGATGCGCAGGTGAGAGTCTAGCCTATACAGCAGCTCCTAGTTAATAGCATTAAAAATTGCAAAAGCCAACCTGGTAGGCGTCTGAGTAGGAGCAGGCTAACTGGCCTTGATCGTACAACATTTTTTCAAAATGAGGCACATGCCATATCCTGTCAGTCGAATATCTGTGGAAACCCTGTAAAAAGATGGAGAAAACAATAATAAAGTATTAAATAACAATGTTTAGTGTAGACCTCGGAAGGCGATCTCTGATATAGCGAGTTTCTGTTGTGAAGAACAATTTCTTTAGCCCCAGCCAATGTTTCTTGCTTGAACTCTTATCTGGATAGGAGGAATTTCTGATAAGAAGAAGCACTTCTTGATTTTTTGGGTCCCTGGTGAGTTCTCCTTATCATACACTGTATGATTTTACTTTTAGACATGGAATCTGCAAATGCATGGTTCCCTAGATCCAAAATACTACTTTATCCTTGAATCTGAGAATAATCAATGGCCACGTCTATGCTACACAGAAGGGGGCAAAGATTGCCAACAAGCAGTTAGATCAGTGGCTCTAAACCTTCCTAATGCTGCGACCCATTAACACAGTACCCTCATGTTGTAGTGACCCCCAAACAATTATTTTCCTTCATAGCTTCAAAGAATATGAATTTTCTTATGGTCTTAGGTGACCCCTGTGAAAGGGTCATTCGACCACACACACACAAAAAAAGGGTTGCGACCAGAAGGTTGAGAACCACTGAGTTAAAAGAAAGAAGGAATCTATGGCTGTACAGAAAATTTAACAAAAGCAGACAACCTTTCTAGAGATCAAGGGAGATTCATTGGTTATCTATACATCTATCATCATCAACATTATCAAATTGAGTTAAGAATGGGGAAAAACTGCTTTCGTTCTCTGATATAAACAATATTGACAATGATGAGTTGAGTTGAGAACTTATACCACAGCTCTCAGGACATTCCCATAAGCAATCCATCCACATTTTCAGCAGCCAGCTCCCAGCTCAGCACTACAGTTCTGATGATACCCCTAGCAGTGTGATTGTATGTCCGTCCTGTCTTTCTCCTGAGTAAAAATTTCCCATTTCCTTTTATCATCATCATCAAGTGCCTTGCTGACAAGTAAAGATTATCCATCTCTTCTTTGCATTCACCGATTGCAAACTCCAGCAGAAAGTTCTGGTTGTTTCTCCACTTATGGACTTTAGTTGTATTCCAGAACTTGCCTTTTGTCTGCACATCCATTTGACAGATCTGACATATTTGTGTGTAGACTGTTGGCTACTCACCACTCAGCAGATGCACTCTGACTTTGAAGGAAACAACCCAAATTAGTCGCCATTTACAACAAACTTGCTGGGGAGCGGTGGGTCTATTCTTGTTTCCCTCCAAAATAGAGTCCTGAAATCTATTTGGGGGTACTGTCCATCTTATTTTATTCTTGTGATCTCCAACAACTGAAAGAGATATTAAAATACGAATACAAAAGGTAAGAGAAGCTTTCATAGCACTAGGAAATTTGTGGAGGTCAAAAGAAATTAAAAGAAATACTAAACTTGAAATTTTAAATTCCAAAGTCAAATCAGTACTGTTGTATGCAGCAAAAACATGGAGAACAACTAAGGCGATTACTAATAAACTACAGACATTCATTAAATGGTGCCTGCACAGAACAGAGGGAATTGGTATGACAGAACTAAGGCAATTACTAATAAACTACAAACATGCATTAAGTGGTGTCTGCGCAAAATAGAGGGAATTAAACGGTTTTATTGAATCACTAATGTAGAGCTTTGGGAGAGAACTAAACAAGTTCCAGTGGACCAAGAGGTGAAGAAAAGATGCTGGTATTGGATAGGACACATGTAGAGAAAACCTGATAACAATACAACTAGAATGCTTTGCACTGGAACCCGCAGTGGCATAGAAATAAAGAAAGACAACAAAAAAAAAACATGGAGAAGGCAGCTAGAGAATGAGGTGAAAAAGATGGGGAGAGCTGAATGCAATAGCGAAGGACAGAACGTCTTGGCATGAGCTGGCTGAGGGAGTATGCTCCACTGGGGGTTAGAAGGCAGAAGAAAAGTTCTCCAACAGCATACGATCTCCAATCGTATACTGACTTCTTTCTAAGCCAAGACAAAAGACCACCAATATTCTTCACTTGTCTACTTTTCTCTCTCTTTCCTAAAACCCTCCCAGTTGCGACATGTTCTGGTCTTTCTCTTCTTATTAAGTAGCCAAAAATGACAACTGTCTATTTTATTCCCCACAGTAAGTTGTCTTTTTGATATAGCCTGCTTCAAAACATTCAGGTTACTAATTTTTCCTGTCTAAGAAACTTTCAGCATTCTGCTGTCATCATCATCATCATCAAGTTCCTTACCAGCTGGCGTTGGCATTCACACATCTCCACAGATCTCCGTTTTTGGTGTTCTGGATCAATTCCACTGATGATATTCCTCCATGCTACCATATTTCTCTTGGTCTGCTTCTTCTACCAGTGATCTTTCCAGTGTGATCTTTCTTCTGCAGGGACACAAGGCTACAAGGAATTTCATTTGCCTGTTTGAGTTCAGAACCGCTATCACAGTACTCAGAACAATCCCAAAAATGATCTTCAGCAGCCAGCGAAGAGTTCCTATTTCAAAGGTGCCATTAGCAGTTTAATATGTCTGTCTTGCCTTTTCCCGAGTGCAGAGTGTCAATCAGATCCCCTGGTCACTCCTAGCTGTACATACTCTCCACACCATAATAATCTATTCAGGCATCCATATTGCCCTGACCTCATCTTGTTTGACACGAATCAATTCATCATCCAGTAGTGCAGAAGTAGCCAATCTGTCTGCTGTTCATTTCTCAATAAACCTGCATGCCCCAGAGAAAAGACACAAAGAATGTATGTTAATTATTTGTCCAGGATTCATGGCTACACATAATCTATACAACCATTAAAACACAGAAATACCTGTGAAATATGATCATGTATTCCCCCATAAGCCATCTTTGTAAGTGTAAACAAACTCATGTGTAAAGCCTGAGTCCCTGATTCACTTGTCTGGTTTCGATGGAAGTAACGAAACAGGAAATTGAAAATAACTGAAAAAAGGCATTAAATGTAAAGTTAAATACATGTTCTTACAGTGGTATTAAATTTCAAATGGTCAGATTTCCGAACCAATACACAAATAAGGCAAGAATCCAGGCAAGAGTATGTGTCTAATTTTATACGAAAACGCAGCTGGAACTATGTCGGCCACGCCCTTAGAATGGATAAATCAAGACTTCCTTACCAAGCCCTCATTTGGACACCACAGGGAAAAAGATCTCGTGGAAGACCAAGGGAAACCCTACGTAGAACTATCATCAGGGAAGGCTCGCTCATGGGCCACCCAAACATCCAAGACCTACAACAGATTGCAACGAACCGCCATGCATGGAGAGTCATGACCTCTGCCCTATGTGCCGCACTCGACACAAGAGGAAAGACTAACTAACTAACTAACTAACTAACTAACTAACTAACTAACTAACTAACTAACTAACTAACTAACTAACATTGGTATGCAGTGTTATAATCGATACACATAAAATAACAAAGTGATACTGCATGCTGAATCAAACTGATTAAAATATAAAGAAAGCAATGTTCTTCTTTGCTATGCTCTCTTCTAATATTGGTTACCTTTAATCTCTATGGGATTGACCCGATTCATCTGCATATTGGTCACCCTCAGTCTTTTAAACCAGACATTTTACTGTTGTTAAGAAACTTGTGCAGACGATAGGGTTGTATTTGCATAAGAAGACAGAACACTCTAACTTTCTGTATCTCTATACATTTATATATGATATTAATTTTCATCTACTGCAGTGAATGGAAGACAGGGTAGCTTAGTTGCAAGACACTCATCTGAGGCTCTGAAGGTCTTGCGATCAAATATGCGCTGTCTGAAGTTTTTCCTCCAAAACTGACCTTGACTCACAGGTCGACCTGGTCTAAAATAGGTACCAGATAATGTCATGGGAAGTAAAGAAAACCAGTACGATGCTGACCAAATAATGCAGCAGTGTCTGATTGGTCTATATTGTTCTAAATTGACAAATGAAATTTGATTTGGTGTACGGAAATACTGGTTCTTTAACAGGTGAGACAGAGATGGGAGTGGTCCTGTATCTAACCACACTGGAACAGCAGTAAAAGAAAATTCTAAAAAAAGCCGTTTTTAGTCAGTCTGCAGATTCTGCATGATGTCGTTCCCTTGAGAAGTTAGTCTGACAAATAGTTGCAGTCTGGAAACTGTAATTTTGTTGGGGGTTAAAGTAGGAAATTTTCAGTGGCCTTTGATGAAACCTGTGGGGTACCCGTTTAGATGTAGAGCTGTCATAATGGTTTCAGTTTCTGCTATTAGTGTATCTTCGGTACAAACCTTAATTAGTCACCTTTTAAGACATGCTTGTTAAGGAGGCAGTGAGTCTATTTATTTTTCTCCCAAAATGGGCAGCTGCAGAATATGATTGCCTGCACAGCTCTCCATAGCATGAGATGATGAATAAGTAAAGTAAAGTAAAGATCCCTTTTCACGCCTTTCGGCGCATCGGGCATATGGGCAGAGCGTCCCATATTTTTACAGACCATCAGCATTTTGTGGGTAATGTGGTCAGCATTACGCCGTGATGATGAATACATGCAGAAAATATAAGGAAAAAAAAAATATGTTTATAAAACAGGCATCACTAGTTCTTACCAGGCTGGGGAAATTTTGGAGCAGACCCAAAGCCGCCATATTGCTGATCAAAACGTTTCTTTAGCATCTGATTTCCTTTATCACTAGCTTCCATAGTTGGTACCACCGGACTTCCCTTATCTGTTGCCTGCATTCCTCGCGTTAAAGCATCTAGAATCTGGGTACTCTGATTTTCAATCTCCGATTTATTTTCTTTCCACTAAACATTCATATAAAAGAAATAATTACAAGATAAACAATGTCTTTCCACTGTAAATTAATATACTTTGGACACAAGTAACACACTGCAAAATTTACTGTCTGGGCGATATTTCACTGTGTTTCATCAGGTGCATTTTTACAGTTACATCAACATATAATAGAGCATAAGTATTTTCCACTGAAATACACAAATCACAATGTCTCTAGTTACACTGTACCACTCACAATATGAAATTCAAGATTAGCCATGTCATTAATATAGAAGTTTAAAATTTATCACATGCTCTTTTTGTTTGCACAATGCAGAATTGTTCCTTTTAATTGTCATGGTTTCTGCCAGTTTCTTAGTGTACGAATTATTTAAAACAATTATTAGCAAAGTAAAAATATTCTTGATACATCTTCTTTGTCTACCATTTACACCCATTTTTAATATAGTCCCTAAATGAAAGTCATATCAAGTTTTTATGAGGCTTCGTTGAAACCAAGGCCATAATGGTTGGACAAAATCATACTAATACTAGAGTCTGAACCCAGACCTATTGTTATGGTAAGCAATTGTGCCAAGCGATATGCCACTGTGACAGCTCTCTGTAGGAAGCACAGTGAACTTTCCTGTTCTCTCTACCCATAATCATCTCATTCAAGTTTATAATTTTTAACTGGTTTTGGTCTAATTAATGTTGTTCACCTAATTTCTTCAACAAATCTTACACATTTTACATATTAAATTTCAAAGTGGTCTGTTAATTTCAATTACTTACTTTCTTAGAAATTATATGCAAAATTGATTTAAAGCCTGGTCGGTTGTAATATCTGTCATCTGGAGGGAAATATGTACCTCCCACAAAAGGTTTTAGGTCTGGCGTCAGCCAAACGCTCATCGGCCATCCACCACTGCCAGTTGTAGCCTGTAGAAAGAATACAATATTCAGAAACACTAACAAAATAGCAGAAGATATATCTGATTGCAGTAAACTTAATTAAAAAGATCTAAAATGACATGAATCCATAATATACCACTATTTTTAGTTTCATTTTCTTCCCAAGTCATGGTTTATGAACTCTGCATCTCTAGGGACTATCAGAATCCCATCTGGTAATATAGTTACTTCTTATAAACCTCCTGAGGGGCTGTGTGATCTCGAGGCATGGTGTCTGCATTGAATGCTAGAGGTTCTGGTTTAAATCTCCGGTAAGGGCTGGGATGTTTTCACGTGAACTTGGACTTCAAGTAATTCCCCCTGGTCTCTGGGTAGTGGAATCAGACACTCATGTGCATTGTTGTGCAAGTAAAAAATCCCTTGGCAGTTGGAAATTGAAAAGAGTAGCCTAACGGCGCTGCCCGGGCAAAATGTGGAATTAAAAATCTACCCAAAGTATTTCAGGAAAATCGCCGTTGCTACAGAGCCTGTGCACTGTGCTGAGCTTCTTCAGACTCAGAAGAAGAATGGAGCACTTATGGGTTACTACCCATGTGCCATGATATTGATCCGTTGTTTAAAACCTCAAAACCTTATAAACCTCTTGGTCTCATCACATGTTATGTCTATATCAGGTTGGGTAGTCTTCTACCTTCCTTTGCTAATCTGTCAGCCTCTTCATTCCCAGTTATGTTGCAATGGGATGGAATCCATTGTACTATGAGTCTTTTTTATTTCTGACTCAGTCCATGGAGTGCAGCTCTAAGATCTGCTAGTTCTGTTATTTTTTGCTCTTCAGTATGGTGACAACTGGCTGTACATCTGTGAAGAAAGCTATGTGTTTCTCTTTATTTCTTTTTTTATTGACAGAAGCATTTCTGCTGCAGTTCTCAAGGCCTCTGCTCTAAAATTACTGAGAATTTTCCGGTTATAATTGAATTATTTTCATTAATCAATTTTTCAGATTTAGGACAATTCCCCCACCTCCATTTTCTGTTGACCTTTTTTGCTGGTCCACTTAAATGCATGAGTCCGGGTGTTACTTGGGTATTGTTCTTCTGTGCAGTTGTGATTTTCCTTCTTTCTGTTTCATTCTGAGTGTTCTTTTTCTTAACACCAGGAATATTTTCTACCAACTCAGGCAGGTGCTGCTGTCTCCAAGCAGGGAGCCTGTGTATAATGTGGATGGGTTTGGATGTTGATTAGTGCAGGATCTTCTCTGATCTTAGTTTTTGCAGTTTCTACAAAGTTGATTAGTGCTTTAGTCTTCCCCTTTCTAGACCATTAAATCTTTGATACATGGGGTGGGGTGATCTATCAGCCTTCTAAATTGTTTTGCTTGTAGCTGGGCTCTGCTGTCTCTCCTATACTCCATCGGGTGCAGACCTGTTATCTTTGTTAGTTCCTTAAAAGCCGTTGTTTTTATGTGCCCAGTTATAATCCGCATTCCTTGATTTTGAAATCTACTTATTTTGATAAAGTTTGACTTAGTAACTGTTGCCCATGCTGCAATACCATATTCAAGGACTGGCCTTACTCCTCCAGTGTATAGTTTCTTAAGAACTTTCTTATCAGCTTCCCATATTGTTCCAGCAAGTTTTTCATGATTGCCCTTCTTTTCCTTGCTCTTGTCAACTTGTCTCTACCTGTGTCTTCCATGTTAGGTGGCAATCAAAAGTGACACCTAGGTATTTTAGGCCGTTCTCTTGATGCAGTATTTATTCCATTTAGCACTGCTTAATTGTCTGCTTTTTATGTGAGAAGGAGAACGCAGTGCATGTTTTTTTCTCTTTACAGATATTTATTAGCCATGTTTTTTACTATTCCTCTAACACTGATAAAGCTTGCTGCATTCTATTGTTAGCTGTACTAATATTTTCTTCACTAGTCCATATAGCTAAATCATTTGCAAAGAATGAGGTGTGGTACTTTGGCTGAAAAATTATTTGAAATGTCATTTATATATGCTAAGAACAATGTTGGTGACAATACTCAACCTTGGGGTACACCTTGCTTGTTTTTCCTCATGGAAGACATCCTCTATTTCCTGGGCTATAAATGTTTTTGGTCTTCAGTGGATCTGTACTTTCTAAATCCTTGTCCAGGATGGTTTGTAATATTTCCTCGCACCTCTTAGGATGCATTCATATGCTGAGTGCAGCACCGCTTTGTTTAGTTTTTTTTTTACTATCGTCTTCATGTTGCCATATCATGAGTTTATGTTTTTACAGTATTTGCCTAGCAGTATTCTATGTGGATGCAAACATGATTTACGGTCTGAGAAGCCAAAAATTTAAATAAAGTACATGTTTTTTTTTAAGATTCATTCGAAGTTAGATAGATAAAGTTGTGAAATAGAGGTGTTTCAGTCATTTATAGAGTCAAACTTTGATGAGGGATATGTCTAATGTGTACCTCACGCGAAGGGTACAACGATAGCAAAGTCAGCTGGCACAAACAGAATAAACATTAGGTAAAAGAAGATTTTCTTTAGTGTCAGTTAGTTCTAGTGCTATTCCTCTTATTATTTAGCTACAGAATTACAGGTAAACTGAGTGTTATATAAACTTCGCTTTGTGTGAAGATACACAAAATCTAATGTATAGATTGAGATTATATTTTACTTATACATTACTGCCCGGCACTCTAGCGTAGTTGGCTAAACCGGACTGCGCGGTGACCGGGTGACGAACTCCTTGTGGTCCGGGTTCACACCCGGCGGTAGGCAGAAAAGCCACATTTCTCCCAGATTTACGGTATTTACAATGAAATCAATGCCGAAAGGTTGTGATATCCATAATACCGAGCCTAAAGGTTAACAACACATGACTTCTGGATACTAAAGCAAACAAACAACAAACAACTTATACATTACTAAGTGGTTCATATTCATTTGTGATTCATTTTGGATATATTTAACCAGTTTTTCTTGGGTGCCATGGTGGTAAGTGGAAATTTCTTTTTTTATTTTACTAATTGTTGTAAACATATCGTCAGTTTACTTACTAATATTTTATTACCAACCCAATTATTTGTTGTAGCTGTCTTCTTATATTATTCCACAACAATGCCTGGTCACTTTGATGTATAATATGTGTATGTTGCGCTGCAACTGAATTAGTATGGTCTGTTTTAATGTGCTACACTTGTGAAATAAAAAATTGCATTATTACCCCTTGGGCCTCTGATGCTAAACCCCCTGGGACTCAAAGAGTTAAACGGATGTGCACGCAACACTCAGCTTCTAGAACTTAGGTGGCCTAACAACGAGAACATTCCGCTGGAGTTTACAGCCTGAACAAAAGTCACCTAGACTTTGACAACATCTGGAAGTGTCTAGTTATTTAGCACATTGCCTACCTGAACAAAAGTCACCTAGACTTTGACAACATCTGGAAGTGTCTATCTAGATATTTAGCACATTGCCTACCTGAACAAAAGTCACCTAGACTTTGACAACATCTGGAAGTGTCTATCTAGATATTTAGCACATTGCCTACCTGAACAAAAGTCACCTAGACTTTGACAACATCTGGAAGTGTCTATCTAGATATTTAGCACATTGCCTACCTGAACAGAAGTCACCTAGACTTTGACAACATCTGGAAGTGTCTAGTTATTTAGCACATTGCCTACCTGAACAAAAGTCACCTAGACTTTGACAACATCTTGAAGTGTCTATCTAGATATTTAGCACATTGCCTACCTGAACAAAAGTCACCTAGACTTTGACAACATCTGGAAGTGTCTATTTAGATATTTAGCACATTGCCTACCTGAACAAAAGTCACCTAGACTTTGACAACATCTGGAAGTGTCTATCTAGATATTTAGCACATTGCCTACCTGAACAAAAGTCACCTAGACTTTGACAACATCTGGAAGTGTCTAGATATTTAGCACATTGCCTACCTGAACAAAAGTCACCTAGACTTTGACAACATCTGGAAGTGTCTATCTAGATATTTAGCACATTGCCTACCTGAACAAAAGTCACCTAGACTTTGACAACATCTGGAAGTGTCTATCTAGATATTTAGCACATTGCCTACCTGAACAAAAGTCACCTAGACTTTGACAACATCTGGAAGTGTCTATCTAGTTATTTAGCACATTGCCTACCTGAACAAAAGTCACCTAGACTTTGACAACATCTGGAAGTGTCTATCTAGATATTTAGCACATTGCCTACCTGAACAAAAGTCACCTAGACTTTGACAACATCTGGAAGTGTCTATCTAGATAGTTAGCACATTGCCTACCTGAACAAAAGTCACCTAGACTTTGACAACATCTGGAAGTGTCTAGTTATTTAGCACATTGCCTACCTGAACAAAAGTCACCTAGACTTTGACAACATCTGGAAGTGTCTATCTAGATAGTTAGCACATTGCCTACCTGAACAAAAGTCACCTAGACTTTGACAACATCTGGAAGTGTCTAGTTATTTAGCACATTGCCTACCTGAACAAAAGTCACCTAGACTTTGACAACATCTGGAAGTGTCTAGTTATTTAGCACATTGCCTACCTGAACAAAAGTCACCTAGACTTTGACAACATCTGGAAGTGTCTATCTAGATATTTAGCACATTGCCTACCTGAACAAAAGTCATGTAGACTCTGTCAACATCTGGCCTCTCTTCTCTGTCCACTTTAATGCTAACAAAATTCTCATTCAACAGCTGCCCAATTTCAACATTCTCAAATGATTCATGCTCCATGACATGGCACCAATGGCAAGTGGAGTAACCCACAGACAAAAAGATGGGCTTGTTGTCTTCTCTTGCTTTCTGGAAAGCCTCTTCGCCCCAAGGGTACCTGTGGAAGAAAACATTTATAATTCTGAACTGTGTACAAATCTTTCATTTAGGGCCAAAGCCAAATGTAATAAATGTAATGCAGTAAAACCTCAATAATTCCAAGGAACAGAAAAAATCAGGAGTTTGTGTTTAAAAAATTCATGCTGGGGACTTATAATAAAAAACAGAAATATGCAGGTACCAAAAGGCTGTTCGTGTTAACCAAGTGTCTTCTAACTTTTTCAGGCCTAAGCAATGCAATGTGCATTTATTGAGAAGTTCCGATTTGCCCAACTGTGTTGATCGTGTGTCCCGCACATGCTCATTCACATACTGTTCAAAAATAGTTTTTTATATATGAAACAATCCTTAAAATATTCAGGGAAGGTTACTCTAATGTTTCTACTTTGTTTATAAATCTTTATTTGTACACTGAGCCGCAAAATTATTTAAATCATTGCAGGGGTCATTTTCAGACATTGAATTTTATTATTTTATCCTTGACTGACCACATTCAAAGCACAGGAATATGCCACCAAATGCACCTTTCAGTGGCTGAGGCTCTGAAATTGTTTCAGTCTGATGTTTTTAATTTTGAATATCATAATGAAAACTTAAATTTTTTTTTAAAAGTGATTCAGACGTTGAATTTACACCGACAGCAGCAAAGATAATCTAGCAGTTCTGATGAGCCTGACGCAGAGAATGTTGCATTGCTACCTGGAGCCTCTGGCTGACTAACTAACCCAGAAACTTAACATAACTTTTGAATTTGTTACAAAATTGAATAAACTTCAACATGTTTTCTAAATTTTGCAAATTCACTGCTCCTGTGGCTGCAGAACCATAGTAAGTGAGGAATTTTGTTGCAAAATTTTGTCTTTGTAAACAATACACCTGCCAAATGTTTTTTTTTTTTTAAATACTAACTATAACAGCATTAAATACTAACATATAATTGAAACTCAAATTGTAGTACATTCATGCCTCTTTAAAATATATATATATACTTGTGTAGGGATTAGAAATATAATATATTCTCTACTGCCTTTATTTTACCCCACCCTTTCTGCCATTTTTATAAAGGGAAAATATTGTGAGCGAAGACTGTCAAGATTCATGGGCCTGAAAGAGTTAAGCAAGCTCATGTTAATTAGATTTACCATATCTTAAACTGAACAGAGACATGAAACAATAACCCGCTTGACATAAACAGACTGATAAATAAATTGACATATTCTGAACAGGGATGAGACGAATGCTTAATTTATTGTCTGGCATATTTTGATGTATTTTGTCTGCTGCATAATACAGTAATATAAAGGTGATGAAGATTTTATATTTCAGTTTTTAAAAAAATCAGTTAATTTGCTTTATTCAATTTAATTGTTATATGTTGAATTAAGAATCGACATCAAAGCACACAGGACACTCCCGTAAGCGCTTCGCACCCATCTTCAGAAGCAGGCGAAGAGTTCCAATTTCGATGGTAGTATTAACCAAGAGGCCACCAGTCGAATAGCTATGACTTATGACATGCTATAAATATGTTGATATTACTTATGATGTAAAACATACATGTTGGAATGACTTATGATTATGCTATGTATATGTTGAAAGCTGTTATTACAACACGGTTTACTTGCCAGTCGACTGGATTGTGGGCATGCTGAAGAAGGTATGGTGATTTTTCCTGAGCCAGTCGATTTGTGAACTGTGGCTGAGAAGCTGTAGAGGATGACATCCTCATAGATGAACTGCGGATGTGATTAAACTGATATAAAAATAAACTGATACAAACAATACTGTTAGTGATGAGCTGAGACCCATACCCATAAGCACTCCATCCACATTTTCAGCATCAGCTCAGAATTCCAGTTCTGATGGTATCCCTAGAAGTCTGACTGTATGTCTATCTTGTCTTTCTCCTGAGTAACATTTCCCACTATCATCATCATCAAGTTCCTTGCTGACAAGTAAAGATTATCCATCTTCTTCTTTGGATTCATCAACTGTAAACTCCAGCAGAAAGTTTTGGTTGTTTCTCCATTTATGGACTTTGTTCATGTTCTACAACTAAAATTTTATGTGCACATCCATTTTACAGATCTGACATATTTGCGTGCAGACTGTTGGTTACTTACCTTTCAAGCAGATGCACACCAACTTAGAAGGAAACAACCCTAACAAGTCACTATTTACAACAGTTCTTAATCAGTATGAAGGAATTTAACTGATTAAAGAAACAACATCACAGCATACCAGGCATACCAAAACATGCTCTCATACCAGGCATACCCAAACAATGCTCTATCTCCAGCAGCAAATGTCTTACTGCTGACTGTTCTAGTAGCAGACTGGTTGTACATATGTTGTAATGTTTCTCTCATATGCTTCCGATCAATATTCTGACTCCATGTGTGGGTTCCGGGGCTCCCACTGTGGGGAAAACAAAAATAGACTAACTGCCTCCCCAACAAGCATGTTGTAGGAGTCAACTTATCGGGGATATCATTTGAAGTCAGAGTACATCTGCCTGAGAGGCAAAAACCACAAGTCTGCACACAAATAAGCAACAGCTGTGAAACGAATGTGCATGCAGCACTTGCATTCTGGAACAAGACTTAAGTCCGAAGGTGGACGAGCACCCAGAGCTTTTAGCTGGAGTTTTCAGCCGGTGAATGTGAAGAAGAAGACTGCCTCTGTCAAAGGTTAGCAGTTGCATTTTCTTCCATATGTAGACTGAAAGGATATAGTTCCATCAAATAGCTACTAAGTCAAATGCACAGTGGTACACTGTGTCCTGTAAATTTATTTTGGAATGCTTTTCGACTGTGTCGAATGTGGTTCGTGTTGCGAACTGCAGATTCAGCAAATGGCAAGTGGACTCTTGCCATACATACAAATTAAAGAAAAAAAATGGGGTACCTTATGTGATTAACTGCATGTGCAACTACTGATCTGATACAACTGCTGCTTCCATCGATGATAAACCACATTTAATGTGTCAGGCTAATTGTGCTGGCACTTCTTCTTCTTTCGTTTGCTTGAAATAAATTATCTATATCTGCAATGTTGTCTCTAGTATGAACTTCACTGTTTTGTAATTCACTCAGTGACCCCAAAAGTCTGACTTGCACCAATGTTTCTCTTGGATAAAAGTTTTGCCTTGATATGTTGTATTTGGGACAGTCTTGGAGAACAGGATCTGTTGTCTCAGGTGCCAGTCCACATGTGCACATGGCTGATTCGCTGATTTTTAATTTTGTGTACATGTGGCTGTGAAGTGGATTGTATCCTGTTCTAAGGCGCAGAACTTGCTCTGGTCTGTCCATAAAATGGTAATTGTCTTGTGCCGGTTTTTGTGGCTTTCTGATTGATTTGATTATTCTCTTCTTTTGCTGATAAGAGACTTGTCCGTTAGGTTTTTTCATACATGTCAAAACTGGAGTACAAATGTACTGTGTACAGTGTACATGTGGAAAATGGCAAATTAATGATTAAATGACTGTCTGATAACCGTTTTGTTTGGGACCGAAAGCGTTAAAAAAGGCCAATGAAAACTGAAAATTATACTACTCGTAAAAACGAACTTACCCAAAGTGATTCGTGTAACAAGTTGTGTACTTTCGACTAAAACACGAGAGATCTGTGCATTTGTTATGAGTATCACCACAAAACACAAGCTGACTGAGAGAGACCCAATATATGTGTGGGTTTGGGTTATTGCATCGTTCTTTTCTTAGAAAATTTGAGACTGGTTTAAAACTAAGAGGACTGTCCCACCATGTTGTTACATGGGGCGAATACGAAGTAATACTAATCTGAAATTCTGTATTATTATTCTTGTTATCTGAACTTATGACCGCAGATTTAAATATGCCTGATTTCAAAGTCAATGTGAATGTCTGCAACTTGACGGACCTTGGCAAATTATGACAATGTGAACGTTTTCTAACGATACGTGATAATATTTGCAACTTGCATGGGAATCGTGGATATAACATTTATAGTTAGTAAAGTGACTGAGATGAAAAAGTGTCTGCAGGTAAGTCTGGTATGATCTTGACTCTAGTATATGGCCCTCTTCATTTATTTACAGCTGTGACCGGGTGACTGATGAGGTATAGTGTGTGCTGCTTTGAGTGCAAGTTCAGTTTTCTTAAAGCTATTGTTTATTTGATTAAGTAATGTTACTAAGTTGAAAACGATATTGTTTACATGTATTTTTTTTTTAATAACCATTATTAAAGGGGGAATGACTAAATTATATTGTATAGTTAAATGCTTATAAAAATAAATGTACATTACTAATGTAACAGCTACTTAATAAAATAAACATTATATAGATAAGTATAATCTTACGATATCGTGTCTCTGTGGCGCAATCGGTTAGCGCGTTCGGCTGTTAACCGAAAGGTTGGTGGTTCAAGCCCACCCAGGGACGATATTTTTTCATTTCTTGGGGGGCAAAATCTTTTAACGTATGTTAGTATCTTGTGTCATTTTTTGCCCCCCCCCCCTTTTTTTTACTAATAAGAGTGACAATAAGTGAAAGATAATGTGTAAATAAATCAAAATACCTAAAATTACCCAGATAATATATGAATGACGTCCTTATCTTCAGCGCAAAGTTCCGGTATAAAAGATGCCTGTTTAAGTATGGCAAGGCTTTTATATTAGGGGTGGAGAAGGGTGCCGGTACTCACCACTAAATGTCTACTACAGTAGTGCTGAAACTGCTGGTTAAAACGGTGCCGGTAATGCGCACCGCCAGAAAAAAGTAAAAACTGAGTATGGCTATATGGTTGCCCTTTTCTCCGAGCGTATAGTGTCGGCCAGATTCCATAGTCACTCCCTGGTGCATCATTCCTTCCAGACCACGATTATCCATTTACTCTTCACCTTGTTCGTCCGATCCCAAATGATCTTGAACACATCTGACTTCCCACGCATCAGTTCACTATACAGGGATACATAACCAGCCAGTAATCTGGTAATCTGGTAATTTTAATTTCAGCTTCATAGAAAACGGGTCACCCCATCTTTGCTCCGCTCCTGTGCCAACGAAAAACACACAGAATGTTTATCACAGTCCCTTGTGAAAAAATAAACTGCTGTGTCAGCAAATCTAGCATACACTCGCATTAAAAGCATATGGTAGCAATCCGAAGTGCTAACACAAACAGTCTGACGTTAGAAATGCAGTTCATCATTGATGGTAGCAGAAGTCACCAAAAGATCAGCAGTTGTACACGCGATCAATTTTAATTAAATAATGGCCCCACCAATATTGCGACAACCGGCATCGCACCATTTTCTGAATCTACAAATCACACCACCACGTTGGTCATTTGAAAAACATTCCAAATAAAATCCGCAGCTCACAGTGTCATGCCATGCACTCAACTCAGAAGCTGGGTAACGAAACTATATACTTCCAGTCTACAAACTGAGCAAAAAAGCAACGGCCACAGTCTGGCAGAAGCAAAACGTGGCAGTGCCTAGTGTTCATTTGTACCTGAAGCATTATGTGAGGGTTAATAAACTGTCACCCCAGCAGTACCCCACTATTAGCTGGGGAAGGGATTTAGGACATTACATCCACCAGCAAGCGTCGCCCCAACAACGACCTGACTGCCTTCGTTAACGACTGTTCACCCAACAGCCATGCAGTTCTTTGGCACGAAGGAGACACCTTGAACTTGGGTTTCGGACTGCCGACTCCCTACACGAAGATATATGTGTGCTACTGGTGTCCCGTAGCCAAAACACTATCTCACTTTATTACTAAAATTCAGCACGCATACTCAAACGCGCAGTAGTAAAAAAAAAAAAACACACACACACACGCACGCACGCGCACACACACACACACACACACACACACACACACACACACACACACACATATATATATATATATATATATATATACATGCACTCATTAACTGCCACCCGCTTGCTTGCTGGTGAAGCACACATGACTACATATTTACATATATATATATGTCCATGCTTGTTCATTCCCTACCACACCGGCATTCCCCGAAGAAATGATTCCACTGCTGTTCAATGCTTGCGACCTCAGTAGCTATAACACCAGTCTATTCGTAAAGCCTATGTCAAAACAGGACACATTTGAACAATTTTCTCATAGAAAAAGTCAGCAGATGTAGCTTGGAGTAGTTTCTGAAATGAATGAACGAAAAGATGTATGAAAGAAGGGAATGAATGAAGTTCAAATCTCAGCAGGACCACATAGCGAGCGATAAACATCCGGTGACACAAAGTGCCAACATTCGGATGAGAATCACCCGTGCGCAAGTCACAGAAACCCCGTTCAATCATTAAGTTATATTAGGGCACCCGACAACAGCCGGAGTGGGGCTTTAAAATAACGAAACATTTGCAACAGATGAGGGAGACCCGGGTTCGAATTCTCGGTAAGGCTGGAGATTTTTATTTCTGTCGGGGGCAAAATAAAATCCTCACCTGCACAGTCGTGGCGACAGCACTAGCCATGCGGCCCCTAAATCCCAAGTCTCAACCCCCCCCTTCCCGCCTACACTGCAACAGTGGTATAAAAAATGCAGTTTTTGCAAGTTTTGGCAACAAATAAAATGTAAGAAGGGAGACTAGAAGAGCGGAATGTTAGACAGGCGCGCGTGCCCAATTCTTAACCATTTTAAAATAAAGTTTGTTTTGTTCATTCGTTCGTTCTGTGCATGATCCCGTTGTGGAGTTATT